TTGGCTTATATAATTAAGTACTGGTATATTATTAGTTGAACAAAAAATCTATCATTAAATGTTAAATGTTATATATATCTAATACTGTGCACTATATGTTTGCTCTTTAGAAATAACTAAACACAACTTAATTGTAGATAATAAGGTTTGCAGAAATATTTGATTAGCAAACCTATTAGAGCAGATTTAATACCTTGCCAGTATAATTTATTTTATGGAGGTGAACTACAAAGCTGCTTTATTTGCATACTCTGGTTGTCAAAGCAATAAAAAAATATGACTTTACTGTCTTGAACCTAATTAAAAATTAACATAAGACTTAACTAGAGGTACTGAGAGAAAACCTCATAGAATGATACCCACACCCCAATCCTATGCAAAGTCCATGCTTTTCTGTTGGAAACCTTAAATAAATTAGCAAATAAATTCAGATATAAATATATCAAATAGGAAGTGCACAAGAGTAACAAGGGTAGGGAAGAATGAATGAAGGCACATTCACATGGACCCTCTTCTCTGTAAAACACCTGCTTCATAAAGTAGGGGGTATAATAATAAATGGTCTGATGTCCATGGTGTCACTTTAAACACAATGTAGTAAATACTTAATGTCCAGATTCTTTCCTCAGGAAATGAATATTCTTCATCACTTGGACATAATGTATACATATATATGAATAAATAATGAAGTCCAACTAAAAACTTAGTTGACTGATTAATAGCAGTCTCTTTTCTCAGGTACAAAGTTTGGTAATGCAAATTATTACTGCTGTGAGAAACCCTACATTATAACAAAAAAGGTAAGTATTTGAATTTGAATTTAAATATATCATATTTACTCCAGATTGTCAAATATAAAGACAAATTTATGCCATCAGATAGGAGAATTTTCAAACATCCAATATAACAATATTCAATAATTATAAAACATGTTTATCTTGGCCATCATTTATAATCTGCACATGCATCTCTGTTGAATACAATTTTTGGGAATTAGAAAAAAAAAGTATAAACTTTCTATTTTTTATACAGTTCTTGAAATCTTTTTTAGACAGGTGGTGACTGGACCACCAATTCTACAAATCTGGTGGTCCCAGTGAAAATTTGGTGATCCTGTATTTGCAGTCAAATTTGTTCCATCAATTATTTCCATAGGTATAAATCAGACTAGGCCAGTTATACACAGTTCCATACTAAATATCAATATACATTTGTGATCAGGAGCTACATAAAATACCAGAAAGCATAATAAAAGAACAAACCCACCACAAACTTTAAGTTGGATATCAGGTACACCACTACACTGAAAATTGGCAGACCTGCCTCATTTTTGGTGATCAGGGCCTGACAGGAAAGCCAGGAACACTGTTTTTATTAATATTTAACATGAAAGCAAAGAAAACAAAATTTCATTATATAGCTACAAGTTTGCATCATTCAAGACAACTCTTTCAGCAGATCTCCCATGTCTTTAAAAATAAAACCCAAATTTTACGATGCTCACAGCCCTAAATACATCAGTATGTCCAAATGTTGGCCTATGCACGAAAGCAAGGTCCTATATTTTTACAATATATATATAATCCCATGGTTTGTTTTCCATGGTGTCATTTTAAACATAATGTAGTACACATTTAATGTCCAGATTTGTCCCTCAGGAAATGAATATTCTTCATCACTTGGACATAATGTATACATATAAATGAATAAATAATGAAGTCCAAAAAAAAACAGTTGACTGATTAATAACAGTCTCTTTTCTCAGGTACAAAGTTTGGTAATGCAAATTATTACTGCTGTGAGAAACTCTACATCATAACAAAAAAGGTAAGTATTTTAATTCAAATTTGATTATTTAATGTTTACTCCAGATTGTCATATATTATTGAAAAAATCTGTATAATTTTGATTTTTGATTTTTAGTTATGTATCCTTTTTTGTTCATGGACATTAATAATTGTTTAACTGTCAATACACATATATTTGTAGTCTTCTTTTTCGTGTGATTACCATTTGTCTTCATATAGACAATATGCAATATTTATTAGCACAAACACATTTACATTAAATAGTTATGGCATACAGTATAGTTCAATTGAAATAATCAATTGACAATAATTAAATTAGTGTGACAGTGATTGAATGATTGGTATTTATACTACGCCACTTTCAGCACTATTGTGTTATTTCATGGCGGTCAGTTTTTATTGGTGGAGGAAGCCCAGATAGAACCACCAACCTTCAGTAGGAAAACTGACAATCCTAGTCAATTAAAATTGGAGTCGAGCGCACCTGCCACATGCTGGATTTGGACTCACAACCTCAGTGTTGACAGGCTAGTGATACAGTAGTTTGACTACTTAGACCACTGGGCCACGAGAATTTTTGGATAACCATTATTAGCAATACAATTTTTCTTGCAACTAAAACAGCAACTTCTGTTATCCAATTTACCAATAAATAATTTTCTGCACTGCTAATAACAGTTTTAAGAAACAGAACACTGTCTGTCTTTTTTTTCTGATTGACATCATTAGTCTGATTCAAAGTTTTAACTATTAATTTCTGATTGACATCATTAGTCTGATTTAAAGTTTTAACGATTATTGTCTGATTGACATCATTAGTCTGATTCAAAGTTTTAACGATTATTTTCTTTCTGATTCAAAGTTTTAACAATTATAGGATCTGTTATATCAGATTATGAAATTATCTAATGTATATCTGTCAGACATATTTGCCTTTTCTATTGGGGGCTTGAATCCTAAATATGTCTCCCTGAGAGACCATTTTCATTCAAAATGTATACTTCCTATTTACTTCAATTTTCAAAATAGTCAAATTCATAGTTCATTAACAGATAAGATTTAAATTGATGCAGTACTTACTTTAAGTAAAATTAACTGCTTCTAAAATAAACAAGAGAAATTTACTTTATTATGTGTAAGACACAGAAATGAAAGTGGTAATTGAGCTAAAGTTTGATATAGAGCAACATTGGCATTATGTCAATGTATAGATATTAGCAGATTAGGCCTGAAACTTTTTGCACCGTCTTAAACTCTTATAATTACTATAGTATGCAGACACTCTAATTTTGTTTATAATTTAACATGCAATCATAAAGATCATAAAATTTGATGCCAAAGGAGAATGTTAAAAAAAATATAAGTATTTAAGAACTTTCACTTTTCAAGCAATATACATACTTATGCTGTTTCCTTAAGATATGACTGGAGAATTATACAAGAAAAATAACGGAAAGTGCACAAAGACAAAGGAAAAATTATCTGCTGCCAATCAAAATGACAACTTTAAAATCCTCCACCTAAACATGAGCTTAAAAATAGAATTTTATCGTGTGAAGATTTTCTAATTAATTAATTTGTGTCGTAATAAATTAAAATTTACGAGAGAATACTATGAAATAAATAACAAATGTCAATATCAATTAGGACAGGAGATCTATAAATGCTAATCAACTTGTTTTGCTGAGGGAAGAATAAATTATGGAATATTAACCAAAAATGTTTTCTGTCTGGATCAACAAAGTCAAGTCTATCAAAAATTGTGACGTTTCCGCATTATAAAATTTTCTGGATGCCACATTTTGCTCAAGAAATTGATTGCCCTTAAAAATATGAATATATATAGAAAATGTTGATTGCAGAGAAATGATAAAACATTACTGCAAACTCATTGGTGAACAGTAGTTGTGTCATTGTAATTGGAATAAGATAATGGAATATTATGGAATACAAATAAAAAAGTAGGTTTTAGTTACCAAAAATAATTATTGTGAATTTCATGTAAATTTGTATTAATAGCACTAAATGCAAAATGAGCAAAGTATAAGTTATTGGGTAAAATTATGGATTTGACAAACTTTTATATGCATTTAGAACTTGTTGAGTTTTTTTTTAGTGCTTTTAATATTTTCGCTTTAATGATATGAAAAAATAGGGGGTCACTTGTGATACAAGTGGAAAATATTAATGAATTTAAAAAATATCATAATCAAACTAAACTCTGTGAAAAATTGTGTACTTACAATAAGTAGTTTTTCAGCAATAAAATTTTCAAATTTTATAACCAATCCAGTCAGTGTCATAAGCCAAAATGTTGAGAAAATGAGTGAGGGGCACAAAAAAAAAGAATTTTACCAAAAATATGTACATCCCAATTTTTTTCAAAATTCTTAAATATGTATTTTTTTAATCATTTATAACTCAGAAGTTGAAATAATATGCTTTTTCTTCTATAAAAAGAGAAAAATTCCAAATTTACAAAATTGACAGCATGGTCAATTTGACACGAAAAAGCAACAAAATTTGATATAAATAAACTCATCATAGATACCAGGATTGAAATTTTGTATTTGCGCCAGACGCGAGTTTCGTCTACAAAAGACTCATCAGTGACGCTCGAATAAAAAAAAGTTAAAAAGGCCAAATAAAGTAGGAAGTTGAAGACATTTCTAATATAAACACCAACCTAGAGTTTTTTTTTAAGTTAAATTTAATCAGATTGGTCCACTTCATCTTTAGTGAAAGAATGAAAAAAAGTTTAATTGTGAAACTGTGATTTTTTTCATGACAATAGCCAAAAAATGGGTAAAAATTGAAGAAAAATTGGAAAATCATTAAAAATGGGGAACTTTCAAATGGCCGTAGCAAAAAAAGAAGTGCACCACCTAATGATTTTTTCATCATCAATTACTTTCTTACAGTCATATAAACCCAAAAATCAGGTTTAGAAAAAAAGTTTAATTCTAGAAATTTTTGGCTCCTCAGAGGTGTACATCCTTAATAAGAAAATAACCGGTATTAGTATTTAAAGGAAAATTAAAAATTTAAATGTTTTTTGATGAAAGTAAAATATTCTTCATTTATTGTTTAAGAGGATATCCTAGGTTGTACAAATAGAGTGAAAGGATATCCTAGGTTATACAAATAGAGTGCTCATTTGTCATATTCTAATTTCAGAAATTTGAAAGAAACTTCAGAAGAACTGCCATAAATTTCAGTTTAGTGAAATCAACAACCATTTCTCTAATTAATATGGAGTATTTCTGATGGAGCATTCATTGAAGAAGGAATTGATTAATATGATTTATTGAGAAAGTCATATACTTACAGTAACTAAACAGAAAAAAAAACCAGTAGTTAAAAGGAACTAAATTTGGCAACAACAAATGAAAAGTTTTCAATAATTTAAGTTGTTTAGTTTGGATAAGATATCTGCCAAAAAAAAATAACATCAACTTGGGACAAACATATCAATAAAAACTGCAAATTTTATAAGTGAACTTTTACAATACCATAGACATGGAATTCAATATTTCATTTTTGGAAAAGACTCTTGGAAGGGAAAAAATAACAGGATTTGAAGAATTTTTGTCAAGTATGAATTTTTCATTTGAAACAAACAAGACAACAGAATCAACTTCTTCTGAACCTGAAACTATTATCACTATAACTCTTAGTATGGTGGCTCTGATTCTTAATTTCTTTGCTGTGTGTGGGACATATAATATACCAAATGGATTAACGACACATTCCAAATTAATTATAAGTCTTGCCATCTCAGATATTCTCATTGTTATCAGTGTTTTCGCTCACCAAATTTCAAACATTTTCCATGAACCCCTGAATCCTTTAACAGCTACTGCAGATGAAAGAATCTCAATTGCATGTTCATTTGCGGTTATCAGCTCTTTGAACATAATGGCACACCTGATATCACTGTTGAACCTGCTTATGATGGCTGTAGATCATTACTTGGCAATTATAAGACCATACCAATATGCTTTTCTCCTTAATAAGCGTAATGGTGTTATTATCATCATTTCAATGTGGAGTGTGGCATTTATTGGTGCCTTTATTAATTTTTTCACCGGCATAGGAAGTTTTGAAGAAGGCAAACTGAACTATTGTGAATACATTATGTACAACGACTTCCATGGAGATTATCTGGTTATAGCATTTACATTTATCTGTCTCCTTAGTATTGTTTTCATGTACCTAAGAATATATTGTGAAGTTCGTAAGATGAACAAACGCCTGACCTTACTGACCTTCAATAAAGAACACAATTCTAAAACCTTGATAACAACACTTTTGATAATTGGAACATTTACAGTGTGTTGGATGCCATTATTCACTCTCCAAACAGTACTTCTTATTAAAATCCAAGTCGATCCTCAAGCTTTGTTGAAAGACACCAATTTGATCAAAGCTTTAATTTTGGCGAACAAGTACTTGTATTCTCTACTACTAGTGAACTCAATTTGTGACCCAATTATCTATGCAGTAAGAATTAAAGAAGTTCAGTTAGGCTATAAAAAATTCTGGAAATCATTATGTGGGGAATACAAAATTTTACAAAATATAAGCGTAAGGAAGTCATCTAAGATAGTTTCTTTACTCGACAGACGTAAAATGAGAGTAAACTCGGAACATGAAACAGGAGAAAGAACAATTTGTTTGATGATGAGTGAAAATGGCTATGACAAAGATAAAGACAAATCAAATATTGAATGTGACAATGAATAACTGACAGAACATAACTGATATTGAATGTGACAATGAATAACTGACAGAACATAACTGATATTGAATGTGACAATGAATAACTGACAGAACATAACTGATATTGAATGTGACAATGAATAACTGACAGAACATAACTGATATTGAATGTGACAATGAATAACTGACAGAACATAACTGATATTGAATGTGACAATGAATAACTGACAGAACATAACTGATATTGAGGATAAAAGTGATTTAAACTGTAGATACATGGAATAACTAGAAATTGACTTATCATGGTTTTAATATGATACATAGTTTATACAATTTACTGTACAAGCATTTGACAGTGTAGTTGAGGCAGATTTACCCAATACAGACTGAGTTTCACCTTACATGAAATAATAACAAGTTATAATATGCATACATAAATTTTATCATTTTAAAATATTTGTCTTAACATGTATTTATATATGTAGGACTCTAAAGTGCGATGGTCTACGCGAAAGTGCGATGGTTTGATATGCTAAAGTGCGATGGTCTGGGATATTCAATGGAATATGCTAAAGTCCAATGCCTGAATACACTAAAGTGCGTTTTTCCGCGAAAGTGTGTTTGATTGCGAATTTTATGGACTTTTAGCTTAGCAACGTCAAATGCCATTTGTACAAACAAAAACGGACATGCCTGAAAACTAGACAAGAAAAGAAATAAGAGAGCAATAAATGATCCCAATCAGGATTATTTTTGATCGGCAATGGAGGAGGTACACTTGATTTGTAAAACAGCTGGAGTCCCCCCCCCCCCCAAAAAAAAAAAAACAATTATGAAACTCCTTCTATGTTTGAAATCCCATGTCACATTCACATACTTACGTGATTCTAATTGACTGACTATTCAATAAAACTTTTTTTTTTACAATATGGTTCGTCATTTCTTTTAAAGAGATGAATATTAGTCAACTATACAGTAACCTAACGACTATTGAACAACAAACAACTACCACTGAATTACAGGTTCATAAAGTATATACTAACTGAGTTTTACCATGCGTATTGCTATGTGTTTCTTTATTCTACATTGGCTAGAGGTATAGGGGGAGGGTTATGATCTCACAAAACATGTTTAACCCCTCCGCATTTTTGCCTTTTCTTCCTTAACCACGAGGAGTTTCAGAGTAAAAGCAAAGACTGGTCAGCTGAAAGTGAGAATAATGTGTCTGTGTAGAGCGACATGTTTTGCTACAGACTGTTACCTTGTGAACTAGCATGTCAGTCTAGTCAAAAGCAGGGTTCAAGTTCATAGCACGTAAAGAATTTCTCCTCCTGATAGTTAATACTACATTGGATTTAGTCATGTAATAGAGAACAAGGTCAAGGTATATTTAGAACAGTTTTATAACTAATTATTTCAACATAACAATGACAATTAACAATGACAATTAAAGTATTTACAAAGTACATGTAATACTTTCTGAAGTTGTCATGTGAAAATCTATGCATTTTTTAACATTGCTAAGACATTTGTACTTTAATAACATAGAATGATTGTTTATCTAATTTAAATTGTATTGCATATCTATTTATCATTATAATTGAATTTGTATTGTTATTAATGTAATTATTATTGTATTAAGAGTGCCTTATTCAAAATTGTTGTAATCCAAATGAGTTACTCTCTCATAATAAAAATATCATTATTATCATTAATAAAAGACTTAGATCTGAGGCTTATATCAATGAGACAACAACACAGCTTCACAAAAAGAAGTCTACAGAAATTGGGTCTTCATAACACAACCATTATTATTTTACAAGACTTACTATACAAATAGATTTTATTCTATAAGGGCTATTCCAGAAAAAAAATATATGGGGTTGAAAGGCACTTTTAATCATTTTTATATGGGTGGTGGCAGGTCCAGAAGTTCAAATTATGGGGGTTGAAAGGCACTTTTAATCATTTTTGTATGGGTGGTGGCAGGTCCAGAAGTTCAAATTCCGTGGTTATGTATGCTTTAGTAATATTCAATTGTATGGGTAATAGCCATTAAAAAAAGTGTCTTTTAACCCACTCCCTCCCCCATTGTTTTTTTTTTCTGGAAAAGTCCTAACGTAGTTGAAGAATCTGTTATTTATTTAGTATTACTAAATCAAAGTATTTACTAAGATGGTAGAAAACCAATCAGCCTGGTCTTATTGCATGTAAAAGGCTGCCCCTCCTGGAGCAAGTTTTTCTTACAAAACATGCTTTTCATTTATTCTTGTTAGTAGCTTAAATCAGGTCATTATTTTTCTTTATAATTCTTTCATATTTTGTTATGGCATGGTCTTTTATAAATTATAAGATAAAGGGGTTTCACATTGTTCAGGGTTATATTGTAACTGTTAATGTTGTCTGGTCTTCTAGGATAATTGGGAAAGACTTCCATTTGCGCCCCATTTACTTGTATATATTGCTTATTCTGTCAACCAGGGGGTTCAAATGGTAGCACTGACAACCCCTTTCCTCCTATCCCCTTGGTGGTCATGTGGTAGTGTTGACAACCCCTTTCCTCCTATCCCCTTGGTGGTCATGTGGTAGCGTTGACAACCCCTTTCCTCCTATCCCCTTGGTGGTCATGTGGTAGTGTTGACAACCCCTTTCCTCCTATCCCCTTGGTGGTCATGTGGTAGCCTTGACAACCCCTTTCCTCCTAACCCCTTGGTGGTCATGTGGTAGCCTTGACAACCCCTTTCCTCCTATCCCCTTGGTGGTCATCCCCTTGGTGGTCATGTGGTAGCGTTGACAACCCCTTTCCTCCTATCCCCTTGGTGGTCATGTGGTAGCGTTGACAACCCCTTTCCTCCTATCCCCTTGGTGGTCATGTGGTAGTGTTGACAACCCCTTTCCTCCTATCCCCTTGGTGGTCATGTGGTAGCCTTGACAACCCCTTTCCTCTTATCCCCTTGGTGGTCATGTGGTAGTGTTGACAACCCCTTTCCTCCTGTCCCCTTGGTGGTCATGTGGTAGCACTGACAACCCCTTTCCTCCTATCCCCCTGGTTGTCATGTGGTAGAGTTGACAACCCCTTTCTTCCTATCCCCTTGGTGGTCATGTGGTAGCATTGACAACCCCTTTCCTACTATCCCCTTGGTGGTCATGTGGTAGTGTTGACAACCCCTTTCCTACTATCCCCTCGGTGGTCATGTGGTAGCGTTGACAACCCCTTTCTTCCTATCCCCTTGGTGGTCATGTGGTAGCGTTGACAACCCCTTTCCTACTATCCCCTTGGTTGTCATGTGGTAGCGTTGACAACCCCTTTCCTCCAATCCCCTTGGTGGTCATGTGGTAGCGTTGACAACCCCTTTCTTCCTATCCCCTTGGTGGTCATGTGGTAGTGTTGACAACCCCTTTCCTACTATCCCCTTGGTGGTCATGTGGTAGAGTTGACAACCCCTTTCTTCCTATCCCCTTGGTGGTCATGTGGTAGTGTTGACAACCCCTTTCCTACTATCCCCTTGGTGGTTATGTGGTAGCGTTGACAACCCCTTTCCTCCTATCCCCTTGGTGGTCATGTGGTAGCGTTGACAACCCCTTTCCTACTATCCCCTTGGTGGTCATGTGGTAGCCTTGATAACCCCTTTCCTCCTATCCCCTTGGTGGTCATCCCCTTGGTGGTCATGTGGTAGCGTTGACAACCCCTTTCCTCCTATCCCCTTGGTGGTCATGTGGTAGCTTTGACAACCCCTTTCCTCCTATCCCCTTGGTTGTCATCCCCTTGGTGGTCATGTGGTAGCGTTGACAACCCCTTTCCTCCTATCCCCTTGGTGGTCATGTGGTAGCATTGACAACCCCTTTCCTACTATCCCCTTGGTGGTCATGTGGTAGTGTTGACAACCCCTTTCCTACTATCCCCTCGGTGGTCATGTGGTAGCGTTGACAACCCCTTTCTTCCTATCCCCTTGGTGGTCATGTGGTAGCGTTGACAACCCCTTTCCTACTATCCCCTTGGTGGTCATGTGGTAGCCTTGATAACCCCTTTCCTCCTATCCCCTTGGTGGTCATCCCCTTGGTGGTCATGTGGTAGCGTTGACAACCCCTTTCCTACTATCCCCTTGGTTGTCATGTGGTAGCATTGACAACCCCTTTCCTCCTATCCCCTTGGTGGTCATGTGGTAGTGTTGACAACCCCTTTCCTACTATCCCCTTGGTGGTCATGTGGTAGAGTTGACAACCCCTTTCTTCCTATCCCCTTGGTAGTCATGTGGTAGTGTTGACAACCCCTTTCTTCCTATCCCCTTGGTGGTCATGTGGTAGTGTTGACAACCCCTTTCCTACTATCCCCTTGGTGGTCATGTGGTAGAGTTGACAACCCCTTTCTTCCTATCCCCTTGGTGGTCATGTGGTAGTGTTGACAACCCCTTTCCTACTATCCCCTTGGTGGTCATGTGGTAGAGTTGACAACCCCTTTCTTCCTATCCCCTTGGTAGTCATGTGGTAGTGTTGACAACCCCTTTCCTACTATCCCCTTGGTGGTTATGTGGTAGCGTTGACAACCCCTTTCCTCCTATCCCCTTGGTGGTCATGTGGTAGCGTTGACAACCCCTTGGGTGGTCATGTGGTAGTGTTGACAACCCCTTTCCTACTATCCCCTTGGTGGTCATGTGGTAGCCTTGATAACCCCTTTCCTCCTATCCCCTTGGTGGTCATCCCCTTTGTGGTCATGTGGTAGCGTTGACAACCCCTTTCCTCCTATCTCCTTGGTGGTCATGTGGTAGCTTTGACAACCCCTTTCCTCCTATCCCCTTGGTGGTCATGTGGTAGCGTTGACAACCCCTTTCCTCCTATCCCCTTGGTGGTCATGTGGTAGCGTTGACAACCCCTTTCCTCCTATCCCCTTGGTGGTCATGTGGTAGCGTTGACAACCCCTTTCCTCCTATCCCCTTGGTGGTCATGTGGTAGCATTGACAACCCCTTTCCTCCTATCCCCTTGGTGGTCATGTGGTAGCATTGACAACCCCTTTCCTCCTATCCCCTTGGTGGTCATGTGGTAGCATTGACAACCCCTTTCCTCCTATCCCCTTGGTGGTCATGTGGTAGCATTGACAACCCCTTTCCTCCTATCCCCTTGGTGGTCATGTGGTAGTGTTGACAACCCCTTTTCTCCTATCCCCTTGGTGGTCATGTGGTAGCTTTGACAACCCCTTTCATCCTATCCCCTTGGTGGTCATGTGGCCCCCTTTGTGGTCATGTGGTCCCCTTGGTGGTCATGTGGTAGTGTTGACAACCCCTTTCCTCCTATCCCCTTGGTGGTCAAGTGGTAGGGTTGACAACCCCTTTCCTCCTATCCCCTTGGTGGTCATGTGGTAGCGTTGACAACCCCTTTCCTCCTATCCCCTTGGTGGTCATGTGGTAGCGTTGACAACCCCTTGGGTGGTCATGTGGAAGTGTTGACAACCCCTTTCCTCCTATCCCCTTGGTGGTCATGTGGTAGCGTTGACAACCCCTTTCCTCCTATCCCCTTGGTGGTCATGTGGTAGCGTTGACAACCCCGTTTCCTCCTATCCCTTTGGTGGTCAACACATAAGTAACCTACAACAATGATTGGATATTTATAACAATGCCTTCTGACTACCCAAGGTCAATTTACAGACCATTCCACAGTAAACAAATAAGTAACCTACAACAATGATTGAATATTTATAACAAAGCCTTCTGACTGCCCAAGGACAATTTACTGACCATTCCACAGTAAACAAATAACTGACATACCACAATTAATCGGCAATTTGTTCATTTTCCCTTTGATCTTTCTGCCTAATA